ACAGCTTTTCACCTGACTTTTTCTTTTATTATTGTTCTCTTCTCAAGAACTTTTTAAAACTTTTTAAAATAATTTGTTTTTTACATTCCAATCCCAGTTCCCCCTCCTTCCTCTCCTCCCGCTCCCCCAAACCCTCCCATCCCCCATCTCCCATCTGCTCCTCGGAGAGTTACCCTCTCCTAGGAAGTCTACTAAGTCTGTCCCATCATCTCGTTGAGGCAGGACCAAGGCACCTCTCCACCCACCACACACCTGTGTCTAGGCTAAGCAAAGTATCTCTCCATATAGAATGGGCTCCACTATATGGTCAGTTTGTGCATTAGAGCTTGGAGACAGAGCCTTGTGTATACCAGGCTCACTTTGAACTCCTATACAGCAGAAGATGCCTTGCACTTCTCTGGTCCTCCTGCCTCTATCACCTATGAGCTGGAATTATAAGTGTTTGTTACAATGCCTGGTTTATGTAGTACTTGGGATCAAAACCAGGGCCTCATTTACACTACCCAAGGGAGCTACAGCTCTAGCCCGATTATTCTTGTTGTAGAATCAAATATAATTTAGTTTTCTAGTACATATTCTAGTTTGTTTTTGTTTTGCTTTGGTTTTTGAGACAGTCTCTATTCAAAACTCAGGCTGAGCTTCAATCTGCCATGCTCCCATCTCAACCTCTGAGAACTCAAATTACAGGTATGTACTACCATGCGTAGCTCCTAGCATATATTCATTGTGTAATTACACAATTGGCCTTATATCTGATTAGTGATTACATGATGATATTAAACGATAACCTACTAAGGACACATTGGCATTTATCACTTAATTTTATGCTATTATTGTTGGCAACATTTTATTTTCATGGTGATGGAGACTAAATTCAGGACTTCATGTAAACAAGGAAAGGGAACCACTACAAGCTACAATCACTGTGAACCACAGCCTCATCTTTTTTTTTTTTTTTTTTTAAGATTTTATTTTAGCAGGGTGTTGGTGGCACATGCCTTTAATTCCAGCACTTGGAAGGCAGAGGCAGGTGAATCTCTGTGAGTTCAAGGCCAGCCTAGTCTCCAGAGCCAGTGCCAGGATAGGCTCCAAAGCTACACAGAGAAAACCTGTCTCAAAAAAAACAAAAAAACAAACAAACAAAAAAAGATTTTATTTTATGTGTATGGGTATTTTGCCTGCATGTATGTTTGTGCACCACAAGCCTTCAAGGCCAGAAAGAGCATTGGATCCCCAGGAACTAGAGTTACAGATAATTGTGAGACCATGTGGGTGCTGGGAACTGAACCTGGTGCTGGTGAACTAAGCAACTGGTGCTCTTAACCACTGAGCTATTTCTCTAGATCCCAATTTTATTTTTAAATGAACAGATTAGGTAAATTCTAAAGGATCATACCCTGGGTTTTAAATTTTACTTTTTAAAAACTGATATATAAAACCATAAAATCATACTATTCATAGGGTCTTTAAATTATTTTATGTCTGTGGGTGATTTGCCTGCATGTGTGTTTGTATGCCATTTGCATGCCTGGTACCCAGGAATGCCAGAAGGACACTGGATCCCCTTCTGTAACTGAAGTTATAGGTGGTTGTGAACCGCCATGTGGATGCTGAGCATAGACCCTGGATCCTCTGGAAGAGCAGTCAGTGCTCTTAATCACTGAACTCCAGCCCATGTTTATCTACAGTCAGCCTACTGTGGGAGTAGGACACCGAAACTTTCATTCAATGTCCATTAAGCAACTTTTCCCTAGTCCCCCTCTCCCACTTTCCTTGCCCTATAGAAATTGCAGTCTGTCAGAGATTACATAGACTGTCATGACTAGGATACAAATGTGCATGACCAGCTTTTCCCGGGGGTGCTGGAGACTGAAGACAGGTCCTTATGCTTCCAAGATACTTTCCAGACTGAGCCATCCCCCAGCTCCCTCCTGTTTTGAGAGGTATCAATTCTGTAACTCTGACTGGCCTTGAACCCATGACATCCCTTGTACCTCAGCTTCCAAGATATACTGGGGTTAAAAGCATAAGCCTTCTAGGAAAAGGCTGTTAACTGTAATGCCGCTGTCTCAACTCCATGTCATCAGCTGGTGTTGCCCATGGTTTGTGTTCTTTTTTCTTGGGTTTGTGCCTTAGCTTTGCTCTCAGAGAATGAGGGTGTGTTGCCTGCACTCCTTTCCCTGCACCATACAGCCCACTGTTCCCCACACCCACATATTCCCTGAGCCACATTGTGATTGTCTTTGAGGAACTTTCATCTCACCAGAGCATTAGTGTCTTCAAGATTGCCTAACTCGGTGTGCCCCTGAATGAGAAAATGCTGGAGACACCTTTGGTAAAGGTAAATGAGGAATGGGTAGAAATAAGGTCTGATAGAAACTGCAATTCTTAACTCTCATCTAAATGCAACAACCTCAAGGATATCTCTAAAAGGCCCAGCTAGAAGTGATGGTACAAGTTGGCATCTAAAGAAATGTCCCTACTCAGTCTCCCACCATTGCTGTCAAGAAAGTGACCACAGGAGACAGGAGATGGGAGACGTGGGACTATAGGATGTGGCAGTTTGAAAGAAAAAACCCCCATAAGGAGTGGCACTATTAGGAGGTATGGCCTTGTTAGAAGTGTGTCACTGTAGGGCGTGGTCTTTGAGGACTTCTATGGTCACATTGTGCCTAGTGCCACAGTTCACTTCCTATTGCCTTCAGATCAAGATATAGGACTTTCAGCTCCTTCTCCAGTGACACATCTGTCTGCATACCACCATGGCCCACCATGATGAAAATGGACTTAAGTCAGGCCGGGCGTTGGTGGCACACACCTTTAATCCCAGCACTCGGGAGGCAGAGGCAGGTGGCTCTCTGTGAGTTCGAGGCCAGTCTGATCTCCAGAACAAGTGCCAGGATAGGCTCCAAAGCTACACAAGAGAAACCCTGTCTCAAAAAACAAAACAAAAAACAAAAAACAAAAAAAAAGGAAAAAGAAAATGGACTTAAGTCACGGCATTAAATGTTTTCCTTTGTAAGAGTTTCTGGTGGTCGTGTCTCTTCACAGCAATGGAAACCCTAAGGCTTAGAGGATTGGGAAAATAAACTCCAACTGGTGCATCTGAATCTTCAAAAAAATCTATTTTTGATTGCAGTAGTTACACAGGAGCTGGTTCTCAATTCACCTTTAGTATTTGGTATGGCAAAGGAACTCCCAAGGTCAAGGACTCTCCTTAGCCTTGGCTGCGACTCTGGTTCACAGGAGAAAGAACACAGAAGGCAGGCAACACAGCCTCCAGAAAAACAGGGGCTGTTCACTGCAAGTTTGAGGCCAGACTGGTACATAGTGAGTTTTGGGTCAGCTGGAGTTACAAAACAAACCCAAGCAAAAAAGCTTAGGGGTCAGCCAGGCGTTGGTGGCGCACGCCTTTAATCCCAGCACTCGGGAGGCAGGGGGGGGCGGATCTCTGTGAGTTGGAGGCCAGCCTGGTCTCCAGAGCAAGTGCAAGGATAGGCTCCAAAGCCACATAGAGAAACTCTGGTCTCGAAAAACCAAAAAAAAAAAAAAAAAAAAAAAAAAAAAAAAAAAAAAAGCTTAGGAGTGTGTGTGTACATATGTATGTACATGTGACACAAAGCATGTTTGCAGTCTCATGTGTAGCTTTCCCCAACCTCCACCCCCATGCCTGTGTGTCTGTGCTTGCTGACTGATAGGGCTGGTCTCCAAGGGGTTGATTTACTTCCTCTTCCATCTACAAATATCCAGGTTCTCCAGGTAACCTTTCACTTCCAAGGGCTACCCAGTTCCTGAAGCGTCTTTCACCGTAACTCACCAGTTCTGAGCTCCATCTACTTTTCTCAGACGTCCCTGTTAAATTCCTTTGCGGGCTGGGAATGTAGCTCAATGGTAAAGCACTAGCACATCATCAGAAGCTTAGGGATAAAATAATAGGACAGCACAGTACTGCATCAATGATCACAGAATCACTTTCAAAGACTGTTTTAAACCACGAATCTAGGTTGTCTTTTGAGATGGAGTCTTGTGTAGCTCTAGTTGGTCTCGAATTCATAGGCATCTGCCTGCCTCTGTCTCCCTAGTGGTGGAATCAAAGCCATGCATAACCAATCCAATCCAGGCAAATTTAGTAAGATTTCTATCAAAACAGTAACAGTAAAACCAGGTCAAGCTGTAGCTTGGTATTGGAATATAGCACACACTCCCTGGGATTCACACTGAACTGGTGTGCATGTGGCTCAAGTCACTTGTGCTTTGCAGAGCTGCTGCCTAATATCTAATGTGAGACAGGACAACCTGTGGTTACTAGAAAGTATACCTGTCTCTCCCTACCACCCACTCTCGTGGTGCTATCCCTACTTGAGCAATGTATGGCTTTCCTCAACCCCCACTATACAAGGACCAGCTCAACCATGTCTCCAAGGGGCACCATGTCTCCAAGAACAAACTGGCCACTGACTAGCATTTTACACAAGACAGTTCTTCCTACAAATACACCACACTGGACCAGTAGAGATTTCCCCCGTCTCTAACACCCCAGCCTCCTAATCACTCGGTGTGGCAACCCCTCTCAGGAAACCCTCCTCCCCCATTAAAGCCCTGCTAAGCACTCACACTGACTCCATCTCACTTCTCCTATCACCCAAGTTACTGTATTCAGCATCACCTGGTGATGGTGAATGGCCCCTCATTAGGTGGTGGCCCCTCATTCTCATACGCAAACAAAGAGAAGTATTTGGAGAGAGGGCTATCACCACCAAGCATAGCTAGTACACTGGGACCCAATGGCACAGGTAAAGAAACCTGTTTTAAACTTGTAGTGTGTTACCGTTCATAACAATAAGTAATAAATTGGGCCAGCAGAATAACTCAGTGAATTAAGATACCTAACTACAGCAGAGCCTAACAAACTGAATGACTGAGTTCAATCCCCCTGGGAGATAACCTACTCCACAGCTGTCTTCTGACCACACCCAAACCACGACATACATGCTCCCACACACATATTAATTAATTTTATAAAAAAATTTAAGTAATAAATTATGTTACAGAAATATACAATATGCTGGGTATGGTGTACACAACTGTAATTGCAGCACTTGAGAGGCTGGGGCTAGCCTGGGCTACAGTGTGAGGTCTTGTCACACCTCCACCCCTCCAAAACCTCCAAATAAACACCAATTGCTATGAGAAAACTGAACACTCAGTTGAAAATTTTTTCTTAGAAAGCAACCACAAGAAAGTGGTTACTCTTAGTTAGGTTCCACTAATTTTTCTTAATTCTCTTTGATTTTTTCCCCTGGTTTTCTGTCCCTGTCTCTGCAGGTCGCTTCTTCAACCCCTTCATTTTCCTGGTCTGTAGTTTGCTTAGGTCTTGCTTCTGCATATGAATCCTTCCAAAAGTTGTACCAAAAGTATCCTGGGAGATATTCTTTCTCTTCTTTGGCTGTAAAACAAGAGAAAAAAGGTATGTGGGTATATATACATGTATGTGTGCAGGATATGTGTATATATGTATGTGTGTGTGCGTGTGGCCTTTTACCACATATCTGGTAAAAATCCAGCACACACCTCTTAATAACAACCCCCACTGTGAAGACTCAATGACACAAAGGACACAGCTCTCTAGGAATCAGAGGACTTCTTTAAAATGCAAGTTCTCATTCAGAGTCAACCACTAGCCTCTTCCCCTTGTCCTACAAAGCTGCCATCTGGGTAAAATGTCAGGTCATCGTACTGACCACTGTCATGTATGAAGACAGTTTCCTGTGCTTAGCCTTAGAAGTTTTGTCAGTTCAATTTACACTAGAAGTACAGAGTTAGGTTGTCTACTTATGATAGCACTGATTTTATTGTTATTTATGTGTTTGTGTGCAGGAGCCCATGGAGGAAACAAGAGGAAGCTACAGGTGGTTGTGAATCACTGACATGATGGATGCTGGGACTCAAACTCTGGTCCTCTGCAATAGTAGCAAGTGTTCCTAAACCATGAAGTCATCTTTCTAGCAGTTCTAGCTGTTTTTGAAACAATTTAAAAGTCAAAACAAAGCTGGGCCTGGTAGTGCATGCTTATAATCCAGCACTTGAGAGTCTGAGACAGAAGAATCCCAAATTCAAGGCCAGATTAGGCCACAAATCAATATACATTTAACATACATATCACTCTGGAAACACAGCTTTCAATCCAGTCTTCATGACACCCACACTGTTTTGGTTGTGCCAAAAATGGCAGTCCTGGCTACGAGAAAACTATCATCCAAACTAGACTCCTTGATTCTTCAACTCTATTACTCTTATGTCTAGATATGGTCTTTTTCTGGCTCTGAGCCTAACTTTTTTATTCTTTTTTTCATATATTTTTTTAAAGATTTATTTATTTATTATGTATAAAACAATCTGTCCCCATATATGCCTGTACACGAGAAGAGGGTGCCAGATCTCATTACAGATGGCTGTGAGCCACCATGTGGTTGCTGGGAATTGAATTCAGGACCTCTGGAAGAGCAATCAGCGCTGTTTTTTGTTTTTTGTTTTTTTAAGATTTCATTTATTATGTATACAACAATCTGCTTCCATGTACATCTGCACACCAGAAGAGGGCAAAAGATCTCATAACGGATGGTTGTGAGCCACCATGTGGTTATTGGGAATTGATCTCAGGACCTCTGAAAGAGTAGCCGGTGCTCTTAACCTCTGAGCCATCTCTCTAGCCCCCCGCAATCAGTGCTCTTAACCAATCTTTTTAATATAATGTGCCACAAATCCTTCCTGGAAAGAGTAGAATATAGAAACAAATACAGTACCACATTACAGGTTCCATACCTTGAGAGCTTTGGGCATTTTCATGGACAATTTATAAAGGTCGTCTGATGCTAAGTGTGTCCTCCTCAGAACCAGGTCCATCGACGGTCCCATCTCTTCCAGTTCAATTCGTGGTGTTCTGCAACCAGATTTCTTCAACAGCAGCCTGTAAGAATAAGGGGGAAGACATGTGTTGGTGGCACACGCCTTTAATCCCAGCACTCGGGAGGCAGAGGCAGGTGGATCTCTTTGAGTTCGAGGCCAGCCTGGTCTCCAGAGGGTGTACCAGGATAGGCTCCAAAAGCTACACAAAGAAACCCTGTATCAACCCCCCCCCCCAAAAAAAAGAATAAGGGGGAAATGTTTTTTTATTTTTTAAAGTCCTCCTCTGAAATATCGTTGTTGACAGGGTTTTGTAGTTTTAAATAGGGACAGGAATAGCTGCAAAGGCCAAGCCTCTTCCTAAGACACTTCAGACATTCATACCAAGTACCCTTTGGTTAGTTTTTAAAAATCAGAAATGAAATGGCACAATATTGCTGGGACACAAGTATAAAAATTACTTCCAAATAATTCAGTGGTAGAGCATGTGACTGTTTGCACTAGGCCCTAAGTTTGACACCTAGCACAATAATAATAATTTTAACTGAACTTTTGAAACAGTAACGTTTAGTAGGGCACAATGGTGTACACCTTTAACCCCAGCATTCCTGAGGCAGAAGCAGGTAGACTTCTGTGAGTCTGAGGCCAACCTGGTCTACATAGTGAGCTCCAGGAAAGCCATAGATATATAGTGAGACCCTGTCTCAGGGGGAAAAAGAAAAAAGAAAAGAAGAATATTATGTTTAAAAGATTAACAAATTCTCTGGGCTGGAGAGATGGCTCAGAGCTTAAGATCACTGACTGTTCTTCAGAGGTCCTGAGTTCAATTCCCCACAACCACATGGTGGCTCACAACCACCTTGAATGAGATCTGGTGCCCCCTGCTAGCATGCAGGTAGAAGACTGTATACATAATAAATAAAATTTTTAAATTAACAAATTCTCATCTCCAACATTATGAGCTAAGTCAACCCATTCAAAATCAGCTTTTCCCTATGGCACATTAATAATTTCTGTAACTTGTAGTAAATCTAAAAATCCAAATAAAATTACAACAAAATCACAACTTCTTCAACATTCTATATCAAACAACTCCAGATCTGGAAATACCTGGGAGAGCAGGAGAGGAAGGAAGAGTGAACAGCAGGTAAGCAGGTGGGGGTGGGGGTGGGGGGTGGAACCTAAAATTTCATTGTATTATTAACATATTAATAACATGCCCCCTTCCCAGTCACTAATAACCTCTCCTTTTACTCTCAGGTCCACAACTAGCCTCACCCTCCAACTGTTTTATGAGTTATATCCTAAAAAGAGCTGGAAGCCCTGCAAAGGAGCAGGTTTAATCCCAGCACTTGGGAAATGGAGACCTGAGTACCAGTAAGAGGCCACTCTCTGCTACACAGTGACTTCAGACCAGTCTGGGCTACATGAACCCTGTCTCAATAAAAACAACAAAAAAAACAACCAAAAAAAAAAAAAAAAAAAAAACACCCAATCCAAAATCTGAACATTACATTTAGCAACCACATTTGATGTTCCCACAGGTAAAAAAGTATTGGGGAAAAGGGGAGGCAGGGAGATATTAACTGATTATCACGGCACAAAAAGTCACAGAGGCAACAGATAACATGGGTAATGAATGAGAAGGAACAGCACAATTAAGGTAGGCTCAAGAAAGCAAACAGCAGAAAGCTGGTATGTGTGTGCCAGGCACACTAGCAGAAACTGGGCTACATGAAACCTTGTCCCCCAAAATGAAAAGGAAAGTTTATACTAGGGGTTCTGATTTTAAAATTAAAACATTGTACCATGAATGACTGCCAGGCTAACCAAAAACGTGACTTCAGCAATTGTATTCTCTGGCTTCCAAATGCTGGATTAAAGGTGCATTGCCACGATGTACACACAGTTTACCCTTGCTCTTAAGTCTGATGCATGTGCATGTGTGCACGAGCACACAAGTGCATGTGGAGGAGGTCAAAGGTCAGCCAACCTTCCTCCATCATCCACAGTGGAAGTGAAAGGGCAGAGTGACTGAGGCCATGAGGGAAGCAGCTGCTAAGGACAGACCCTGCCTAGCTTGTCCCTCAGTAAACCTATATACTGCTGGGGCACAAAAGGACTGCCTGACAAGGAGAAGAGTAAAATTACAAGGGGTAATTTTAGCATGTCAGTATCTCATCAATAAAATAACAATATGGCAGGGAGTAGTAGTTCCAGTCTGTAATGACAGCACTTAAAAAGTTGAGGCAGGAGGACTCCAAGTCTGAGGCCTACCCAGACTACACAATGAGTAATAGGCCAGCCTAAAGCTACATCAAGAGATAGTGTTTCAAAAACTCAAACCAAACAACAAAACAAACTGCTTGTTGGGGTTTATACTCATATTAATATTGCACTGGGCTTATGGCAGAAGCCTATGCTAGAGGAGAAATTAATGTAGTCTGTCACTGGTACTTTCTACCTTCTTTATGTTGTAGCTTTCAAACCTAAACTTTTGAAAACTGCTGTGTCTGGCTTGACTGTGGCTTGGTGCTCTAAATCCAGTCAAGAATAATAATGAGACAGCACATAAGGGAGATTACTAAACACACTAGGCTCACAAGAGATGACCAGGGACCCTGAAAAAGTGAGTTTCTCAGACCAAGGTTAGCAGGGAGAACGATTGGAGAGAGGACCGGGCACAGCTCCTGCCACTACTAACTGCAAATTCTCCAGATCCATTCGGCAGGAACCAACTTTGAGTTAGAATGAAACATGATCCCTGAGGATTCTGAACAACACTGGGAAATGTACTTACTTATAGCTTCGAAAGTAAACCTTCCCGTTCAGTGCGGTGAAGTGCAGAACATACTCCAATCCAGCCAGTCGGACATTGGACACCGTGGGGCCTCTGAAGAAATCTGAAAACACATATTCAGTTGTTCGGAAAGAAAACTAGCTGGGCGGTGGTGGTGCACACCATTAATCCCAGCACTTGGGAGTCAGAAGCAGATGGACCTCTGTGAGTCCAAGGCCAGCCTAAATTCAGTTACAGGGGCTGGAGAGGAGGCTCAGTGGTTAAGAACACTGGCTGCTCTTCCAGAGGACCCAGTAACATGGCAGCTCACAACTGTCTAACTTCAGTACGAAGGAACCTGACACCCTCACACAAACATACAAGTAGGCAAAATGCCAATATATATAAAATAAAAATAAATAAATCATTTTTAAAAAAATCCAGCTACAAAGTGCTATCTTTTTAACAACCGTGTTGTCTGTTTGTGCACCTGCCTGAGGAGGGATGTGTGGGAAATATGTGCAAACGCTCACTGAGGCTGGAGGGCAATCTCCAGTGTTGTTCCCCTAGGAGCCGGATTTCCCTGGTACCCTTGGTAATAGGCTAGGCTGCAGAGCCAGCAAGTCCCAGTGTGTGCCTGTCTCTACCCCGGCAGCCCTAGCACCACTTTTCCAGCCCTATTTAGTTTGCTCTGAGACATGCTAACAACTAGTAACATCAGTCCATCATCAAGCTCCTCACTACGAGGGTGACTCTGAACTCGCTGAACCCTGATCCTACCTCCCCAGAGCCCAATGCATGCACCAAAATATGGCCAGTCTTTGTTTACTGTCCTCTTTCTCTGTGTAACAGCCCTGGTTGTCCTGGAACTTGTTCTATATACCAGGCTGGCCTAGAACTCACAGAGATTCACCTGCCTCTGCCTCCCAAGTGCTGGTATTAAAGATGTGCAAAACCACCACCCAGCAACTATCTCTTTATATACAAAAAACAGTAACATTTTTAAAAAGCCATAAAAATTAGGCCAGGCAGAATCTAAACACTGATATTGTTTACTGGGTTCCCATGAAGAAAAGCAGTTCAGGTAGGTAAGATGGCGCAGTGAGTAGGTGTACATGCTAGCAAGCCTAGAGACCCAAATTCAATCCCCAGGACCCAAGAAGGAAGGAGAAAGTCAATGCCACAAAGTTGTCCTCTGGCCTCCACACACATATCAGACACAAAATAATAAACTGGTTTGAAAAAAAATAAAAGCAGTTGAGTGTATAATCCAATGACAGAAGGCTTGCCTGGCATATATAAGGTCCTGGGTTCATCCCCAGTAGGTTCACTGTGCTGTTTAAGAGACCAGAAAACGACTCTGCAGGAGACAGTTCCCTACTGACTTTCCTGTCACACACTGCATAAGCACACACCCTAAAGTTACTTCACCTAGTGGTGTCACAGCCATTTTACAATGTAAATATTACACACTGAGATCATATGATGACTCTCTCTAAAGCACAGGGCTGCTGTACTATATTTCATTTGAACACATAACATAAACCAAGCAGTGGCCTGACTTATTTATACTGAAAACCTAACTTCCCTCTGACCAATAACACTGTCACTGCATTTCTCTTCCACCTTTCTGCTTCTGTCTCAGGGTTCTTTTCCATTCCACTCCCTTCCCTCATCACTGCATTATGCAGTCTTTCATGCCATCTCATGGAAGTCCAAGACAATGAGACACGAGGGAGGGTTTATGAAATCTAGCTAGCCTTGTGCAGCAGCAATGTTTATACTTCTGTGAAATCCCAGGACTTAGATAGAAGGCACAGATGAAAGGAATGCTGCACACTGGTACCAGCTTAGGTTACAAAGCTCATTTCAAGAGACTCATAATGCACACACAAACTCAGGAGGAGAGGCAGGCTGATCTCTGAGTTCGAGGTCAGCCTGGTCTACAGAGCAAATTTCAGGACAGCCAGGACTATACAGAAAAACCATGTCTCAAAGCAAAAAAGAAAAAGGAAGAGAGAGACAAGACACAAAGCCTTGAGTAACAGAGCAGGACTATAATCCCAAAACTCAAAAAACTGAATGGAAGAGTGCATGGCTAGTTTGAAACATCTTGAGACAGACAGCAAGACCCTTCTCAAAAGCACTCGAGCTGGTGGCTCATACCTATATCTCAGCATTTGGAAGTCTGGGACGAAGTACAGTTGCAAGTTCAAGGCCAGATTAAGTTTCATACTGAGTCTCAGATTACTCTGAAGTACAGAGTGAGACTGTGTCTCAAATAACCAAAAGTGCAAATGAGATGGTTCAGTGGGTAAAGGTGCTTTTCTGCATAAGCCTGGAGATATGAGTCCCATCTCTAGGACCTATTTAATGATGGAAAGAGAACCAACTCCACAAAGTTGTCCTCTGACCTTCCGTGTGCACTGTGGCGTGCACACACACACACACACACACACACACACACACACACACACACACAAATATAAATAAATCTTAAGGTCTCAAGTAGTGTGGGGTGGAGCATTTGACCAGCAGTCATAAGGCCCTGGGGCTCAATACTCGGCACAAAAAAAATAAATAAATAAAAGTAGTTATTATTCATGACTGGTTTCTGAAAATTATAATCCCAGTAATACAAGTGAAAAGAATCACAAGTTAATATGAGAGCTTTTTGTGTCTCAACATGTCTATTATGATGACCATCCGTTGATAACCTCAGATTTTTAAAGTTAAGTACTCACATTTATATGCAACCAATTTTTCAAAAATGTCCTGGGGCAAAGACCACGAAGTTTTAAAAATAGCCGGGCAGTGGTGGCACACACCTTTAATCCCAGCACTCGGGAGGCAGAGGCAGGTGGATCTCTGTGACTTCGAGACCAGCCTGGTCTACAAGAGCAAGTTCCAAAAGCCACAGAGAAACCCTATCTCGAAAAAACAGAACTAGATAAAACATCATTGCTGAAGACACAAAGCTTTGGTTGCAGGACACAGAGAAATGGAGGTATGACTAAGCTGGAAGATCTCTCCCTCCTGCTTACTATGTGTGATGCTGTGGAGAACTGACCTCAATCATCTTATGCTGTGGAATGTCAGTTAAAGATGTGGTACGTGCTTTTATGCTGTGGAATATTTCTTTAATGATGCAAAGATGTGTTGTATTCTTTTATTTGTTTAACTCTGTGAAGCTGTGTTACTTTGCTTGAAACACCTAATTGTTTTAATAAAGAGCTGAATGGCAATAGCTTGGCAGGAGAAATAGGTGGGCCTGGTGGGCAGAGAGAATAAATAGAGAGAAGTGAGGAAAAAAGGAGAGGAGGATGCCAGGGGCCAGCCACCCAGCCACATAATCAGACATGGAATAAGAAGGAAAGAAAAGATATACAGAAATAGGGAAAGGTAAAAGCCCAGAGGCAAAAGGTAAATGGAATAATTTAAGAAAAACTGGCTAGAAACAAGCCAAGCATTTATAAGTAAGTCTCCATGTGATTATTTGAGAGCTGGGTGGCGCCCCCCCCCCAAGAGTAAAGAGTTAAAAAAATAAAAATAAAAACTACAGTCTTAACTCAGCTGTGGTCCCCGAATGCTACACTAGTGACCCACAAAGCAAGACTGGCTCACTGGTACAGCAGTGGCTTGACTGTCATGAGAACAACCAGCTGTTTCTTACTAGATTTGAGAGCCCCTCTGCAGGAGAAAATTCACATCTGATACCAAAAACTTGGTCAAAAGCCTGTGGCTAAGGTTACATGCCCTGGTAGAGATGCACTGCTGATGTTTAGCTAACTAGACATGACATTACTGTCAAATTGTCTTGTAAATATTTGTGCACACACCCACAGATTAGTGTTGCTCTCAGTTTCACTGTCAGAGAAGCATCTTTTGCTGAGTGCAGCAGTTACTGCAGACTCATAACTGGTCAAAGTAATGAAAGTAAATAAGTGCTGGATGCTCAGCTTCAAGTCCGAGACTCAGGGAAGTGAAGAGGGGGGCAGAGACTCAAAGAGCTGGAAGGGAGGAGTGCTGTGAACTCTACCATCGAGGCATGACATGGCTGCTGTCATCAGCTGCCCTGATTCTCCCCCCCCCCTCTTGGTTTTTTGAGACAGGGTTTCTCTGTGGCTTTGGAGGTTGTCCTGGAACTCACTCTGTAGACCAGGCTGGCCTCAATCTGCCTGCCTCTGCCTCCCGAGTGCTGGGATTAAAGACGTGTGCCACCACCACATGGCTCGGCTGTGATTCTTGTACCAGGTGCCATCCCTGGGAAGGTAAACAGGCTAAGCAAGCTGTGAGGAGCAAGCCAGCAAGAGGCATTCCTCCATGGCTTTTTCCACTTTAATTCCTGCCTTGTCTTCCCTCAATGGACTGTGACACAGAATATATAAGACAAACAAACCCGTTCCTTACCAAGTTGCTTTTGGTTGGTGTTTTATCACAGCAATAGAAACATAACTAGGACATGGGGAAGGGACTAAAGAGGTCCCAAACCACCTTATGGAACTATAGGCAGTGAACTGTTGCTGGAGAAGAGAGAAATTTCTTTAGTAGTGTAGCTGCAGCCACTGGTAATTTGCATGTGTCCCTGTAAACCACCCACCACCACTACCTATGCTTATGAATGCAACCCTTATCAAGCTCAGTAGGACAAAAAGAATGGAGCATAAAGACATGAGAATTGTACAGTTTGGTGAAAGAATGTGAACAAGTTTAATCTTACAGAAAAGGTAGGTCTCAAAAGCAGCTGTAACTGTTAATGAGATGAGCTCCATTAATATTTACCAATAAGAAGATTTTTTAATCTTCTATAGTCTTCTGTTACATCAAAATCATCACCAGCGAATATCAACATGGGTTTTGTTCCCTCGGGGCACTTACTAGTCTGTGAGATTAAAAAAAAAAAAAAAAAAAAAAAAAAAAAAAAAAAAAAAAAGGAAGCACCATAATTATATAATTTCCAAAATCCAAAGAATATATATGATAGTTTTTAAGATGGCCAATACATGTTAACATAATCTCAACATTTTTACATATACTACCTCACTTATTGTTGCTACATCCACAATTGAGGATCAAGAAAATCACAAATATCATTTAAATGGCAAGACATGCCTTGAACCCACAGGTCCAATTTGAGGTCACTGTTCTACTCTGAACCCAAGGAAGCTGGAGCTACTGACTACACAGGAGCTGGCAAAAGGCTTTTTTCAAAGCCACTAAACCTTCAAGGTCTGTCCCCTTTTAAGAGGAAAGCTGAAGAAATGAGCAATATGTACATTTACTATAATTTAACCATACCATGAGCCTCAAGTCCCACTAGCTCAGTTGCACACGGAGCATGCCTGTAAACCCAGCATGTTTGGAAGATCAGAAGCTCAAGCTCAGTCTTGGTTACCCAACAAGTCTGAGGCCAGCCTGGGTTATTCAAAACCCTACATCAAAGCAACACACAAACCCCACTAAGTAATACAACCTTCAATACACACTATATTCTTTCTCTCTAAACTCTAAGCTTCGTTTTATCTACCATATGCATGACTCTAAGGTTAAACAATTAAACCCCTTTGGGTTCCAATCACCAAATCTAAATGGAAAACTGGTCCTGGTATATAGTAGTGAATGCCTTTAAATCCCAACACTCAAGTAACAGGGGCAGTCAATCTTTGAGTTCAAGACCACCTGGTCTACCCTGGAAGTTCCAGGTCAGCCAAAGCGCACAGTGAACCCTGTCTCAAAAACAAAGACCCCACCAGCCAGGGGAAACTGCCTTGATCTCACACCTTTAAGATCCAAGTGAAATAATGTATTTGATGGAACAATCTGAAGTGAGACATTCCCTGCCTTTCTCAGGCTGTTTTGGCCATACTTTACTACTCCCTGTTTCATAATCCCATTCAAACAAAGTAGGTAGCTTCAGGTTCCTGAAGAGGGGTTATGCTGGTAATTCAATAGCTGAGAGACAAAATAATACAGGGGCAGCCAGAGCTTTTTAACTGTAGAACAATGCTCAACTGGAAAACTTCAGATTGTCTGTAAATGTTATCACTTAGGAAAGACAGTATTTACATCACAGGCCTAACCAAGACTGGTCATCACTCTGAAGTTTATAAGATCCATATGTACTGTATGTTACAAATACACTCCTCTCTTGTTGTTGTTGCTTGTTTTGAGACAGGGTTTCTCCCTGGAGCTCACTCTGTAGACCAGGCTGGCCTCAAACTCAGAGATCTGCCTGCCTCTGCTTCCTGAGTGCTGGGACTATTGGTGTGTGCCACCACTACCCAGCCAACATTTCCCTTTTTAAAATAAAGGTAAAATTGTATTTCTGCATGAGGTTCTTTTTCTATAAAATTCTATCAGTACTTTTTTACCACAAGATGCCAGTATTGGCCAAGAACATTACTAAAATGCTACTTAGTTTTATAATCAGTTTCTTACCTTAATATCCTTTAGAGACACAAATTTCTCAATACCTAGTTCGATCATATCCAGCACATGGTAGTCATACATACGACCTAAAAGGAAATGCATTTTTTAAGCACAGAGATTTCACAAATAGGCACCCTATGTTAACTATATGCCCCAAATTATCTGTGCCTTCTCTGCCTATCAAAACCCACACACTCCCTTCTTAAACTTGGACATTATTGTTAGTTGTATTGTTAGGATACTAGTCAAGGAAAAACTCTACACTCTCAAATTGAGCCCAACTCCTTTACTTTACTTTATGGAATAAATGGGGAGCTGAGTGTGGCAGTGAGTACCTACAATTCCAGCATTGGGGAGGCAAGAGGATGAGCTCAAGACCAATCTGGGCTACAGATCATGTCCTAATGCACATAGAATAAAAATAAATAAATTATAAAATAATAATAATACTTAAATAAAATCAGGAGTTATAGGTATAGTTCAGCAATACCAGGAGTGGTCAGCAATAATAACATACACCCTCAAAAAAACAAGATATATGAAGACCACAGATGGTAAAGGGGTTGCCTATGACTCTAAACATGTTAGATAGAAACTATGTATCTGGGCTGGAGAGATGTCTCAGGGGGTAATAGTACTTCCTGCTCTTCCAGAGGACTTTGGTTCCCATCACCCATGTCATAATTTCCTGTAACTCCATGTGGTTTGCATATACACAAACAGACACAGAGAATAAGTAAATAGATAAGCAGAGCATGAGGAACCCACACTTCCTGTTAAGCCTGCTTCCCAAAGGTGTTGGCGATGGTCCTCTAAGACTGCTAACCAAGAACTACTTCACACTGTCTCACTCCCTGGGCTGGAGGGCAACACTGGGGTCACTGATGGACAGAAAGTTGCTGTGGTGATGCTGGGATTCCAACACTAGCCTTCAAAAAGCTGGACAAGGGGTCTACCACTGAGGTCACAAAGTTACAGCAGCACAGAAACTTTGAGCTTTCTGGTTGACAGTGAACCTTGGAAACATCAGTCATGTGAGGCATGGAGCTGACTATGAGTAAAAACATTAAAGAGTGGTATCATATGCCAACAATTCCAGCACTCAGAGGCAGGGGATCTCTGTGAGTTCTAGGCCAGCCAGAGCTACAGAGTAAGATTTCACCTCGAACAACAAAGAATATGATACTCACCTATTATTAGATTATTCGGCCTCTTCTTATTATGGGAGCCAAACATGAATAAAGAACAGTCTGACTTCTTTGAAAAGAACTCCTATAAAAAACAAAAGAACCATCATTGAAGAATCTTAGCCTGGCCTGCTATGGTGGTTCATGCATTTGGAAGGCTGAGACAGAAGCAATTCTGTAAATTCAAGCCAGCCAAAGCTACATAGCAAGAGCCTGTCTTCAAACAAACCAAAAAACAATGTTACCTTTAGGCTTATAAAGGATAACAGGGGTTTCCCTGCCCTCTCCCAACAGAAGCTAATGAATCTGTAATGAACTAGATAAGTATATACAGAAGGGGCTGGAGAGATGGCTTAGAAGTTAAGATCTTGTAGAGTTCCCAGAACCCACATGGCAGTTCACCTTCAGACCCTGGAGATCACTAGACACACGTGATGAACATACATGCAGGCAGGCAAAACACTCACACTTTAAAAAAAATAATCTTAATATATATTTACATATCCATACAAATATAGATAGTGGTCTTTCATATATTAACTTCATAGCTTTTGTGTATTTTTAGTCTTGAAATGTTGAGTCTTTTAACTAAGTAACCCAAATCAGAAAAATTTGAATTTAAAAGCTAAATTACCACCAGGTGTTGGTGGTGCACGCCTTTAATCCCAGCACTCGGGAGGCAGAGACAGGTAGATCTCTGTGAGTTCGAGGCCAGCTTGGTCTCGAAAAACCAAAAAAAAAAAAAACTGTCTGATTTTAATTATGCAGTCCTCCTGTGTTTCATTTACTGAGTGACTCCTTGCACTCACCTAACGTCACTGCTATCATCAACAGCACATCTCAGCATGCACAGGGGAGCCACCCATGTGTAACACACTGGCTGGGATGTTTGTAACTGGACTCACAAGTTTTTAATGCACTTTGCTACTTTTCATGCAAACTGTTACAAGAAAAAGAAGTGGCTCTAAGATTCCTATGCCCACAGTTTAATTAGTTCTGGGTCATGTCTGGCTGGGACTGGCTGACAGAGCTACGATATTCCAATGTAAGAACTGTTTGGGCCAGATGTAGTGGTGCACACCTTCAGTCCCAGCGCTAGGGAGGCAGAGACAGGCGGATCTCTGAGTTCCAGGATAGTCAAGGTTACACTGTTTTTGAAACCTTGTCTCAAAAAACAAACCAAAACAAAAATTTTTAAAAAGCATTTTTTGGCTTCCACTACAGATTTGAAAGGAGTAGAAATGTGAAGTTTCAATCCTAGACAGCCCTGTGCCTACATTCTACATCCCACATTCTTGCTCGACTTACGGAGGTCACCATTCCTAACATAAAAACTAGATCCAAAGGCCAGGTATGGCAGCACACATCTGGAACCCAACAATGGGATGGCAGACAAGGTGGAGGGCAAAAGAGCCCTACATTAACCTCTGGCTTACTTGCACACACAAACACATATGCATACACCACACATGCGCAAATTAGATTCAACAAGTTCAAGTCTAAAATCAGCTAGAAACCCTTCAAAACCAATGAAAACCATCAAAGAACAGGTAAAACAGAACAATCCATGTCATTGTCCACCCCACAGCCCATCCCTTGCCACACATATTGGCTATTACTCTCTGAGGGGTGGGCTCCTAATCTGATTATCATTCAGTAAGTTTCTATGCAGAAGCAAATGGAGCAAAGAGCTGCTCCTGCCCACCCACTTCCAGTGTGAAGAAAGGAGTTAGAAAAATCAAGAATTCAGGCTAGACAGGGTGTGACGGTGCACACCTCTAATTGAAGCACTCAGGAGACAGAGGCGGGTAGAGCTCTGTGAGTTCAAGACCAGTCTGGTTGACACAGGCAGGGATACATGGAGACTCTTATCTCAAAAAGAAAGAATGAATTCAGGCTATGAACCTTACAATGACCTAGAAATTAACTTTCCTGAGAATTAATTTATCAGAAATAATGTCTTGCAAAACCCCACCAAGGTTATGAGATGTCATTAATGGCACTCTACACAGAAGTGCTCAAAAAATATTTATGGTCAGGCTACAGCTTTGGCTCCTCAGTCCTGGTCTTCTAAAGGACCTGAATTCAATTCCCAGCACACTCATCTCCAGATCCAATGTTTCTGGTGCATGCACACATGCACTTATAATTAAAAATAACTCTTTAAAATATATTCATGATCTAAGTCAATGGGAATGCATTTCTTAAGATGTGTTCTATAGGGCTGGAGAGATGGCTCAGAGGTTAAGAGCACTCTTCCAGAGATCCTGAGTTCAATTCCCAGCAACCACATGGTGGCTCACAACCATCCGTTATAAGATCTGGTGCCCTCTTCTGGTGTGCAGATATATATGGAAGCAGAATGTTGTATACATAATAAATAAATAATATCAAAAAAAAAAAAGATGTGTTCTATTAGTCTCCTGACAGACGTTGTGCTAAATGTCTTTAGTACCAGTACTTGTGAACCAGAGGAAGGAGGACCATACATTCAAAACCATCCTCTGCAGATTAAGTCTCTGTGTCATTATTTGGGAGCTGGCAGTCCAAAGAAAGTCCATTTACACTTCTCTTTCTAGATATTAAGCTTTTGTTTTCATTAAAACTACCAAGAGAGGTGGGGATGTGGCTCAGTTAGCAGTCTCCTTGCCTGGTATGAGCAAAGCCTTTAGTCTGGAGTCATTTTTACACAGCTATTTCTGTTATTTCTGAGTGCTGGGGATGAAACCAGAGCCTCAGGCATGCTAGGCAAGCATGAGCCAGCACCATGACCACTCACTCCCCAGCCACACACCAGTAAAGTCCATATGAGCGCTTTGGAGCCTATCCTGGCACTCGCTCTGGAGACCAGGCTAGCCTCCAACCCACAGAGATCCGCCTGCCTCTGCCTCCCGAGTGCTGGGATTAAAGGAGTGCATATGAGCTCTCTTAAAGAGGCTTGTACTTACCAATGATGTCTGATCCTCAAATGGTCTTGTAATATTTTTCCTAAGAATATTAAAAAAGAGTTAGGAGGCCAGTCTAGACTATACACAACCTTGTCTCCAAAACCAAAACCACTCTAAAAGCAAAAACCAAACAAATAACATTATCAGTAAAAGAACACAGACTGTATACAGGAGAAATAATGGAAAAGTGATCTGCTGAGCCATCTCTACTGTTTAACTGTTCTTTCTTTTTTTTAAATTTTCTTATTAAAAGGCCATTGTATGCTGAGACCAGACTTTACTGTGATCCAATAGCAGCATGTATTATACTCAAGAGTATACTGAACACACGTTGATTTAAATAACTTAAAAATAAAAGGATAGACAACTTTTTTCTTCAGAATTCCAAGCAGAAAGAAGCAACTACAACATCACAACCATTCTGACTATATACACACAGATAGGACACGAGGACATTATAACATCCTGACTGCACACAGACAGGACACTAAAGCATCCCACAGACAGGACACAAGAACACCACAACCATTCTGACTGCACACACAGATACTGCAGACAGGATGGGTAACAGTTTCCAGGAAGAAAGGGGACAAAGTCCTCAGAATTTGTGTGTTTAGCATCCACAGATTCATGCAATTCTGCGTAGGAAATATTGGGGGGTGGGTGGTGGCTGCATGTGTACTCAACATTGGAAGACCTTTGTTTCTTAGCATTATTCCCTAGCAATACAGAACAACTGTGCACCCAGTACTCACACAATAATTTAGAGACAACTGAAGGGATACAGGAAGCTGTGCATAGGTTATGAGACTACCATGCCATTTTATACTAGGGACTGGAGTTTTCACAAATTGTGTATTCCAGGGAAGTCATAAATCCACTCATCTAAGAAATGATGGGTGATAACTATATTTGCATAGTTTCAAAGTATCTACCCTAGACATTTACTAACTACAAAAGGAAAAATAACAACTTTATGAAGAAACCAGAGACACAGCCAATAAGACTTTCACAAATTAAAGAAGACAAAGAGTGGGACAGAAAGATGGCTCAATACGTAAGCACTTCCTTGAAAGCCTAACAGCCTGAGTTCAATCCCCAGAGCCTCCAGGAAGGTGGAAGAAGAACCAACTGCATAAGGCAGTCTTCTGACCTCTTTACCTGCACCATGGGACATGAGACCTGTACATGTGCATCATACACACAACAGAAGATGAAGACTGGGATGGACATCCCTGAGTGGCAAGGCCCTGGGTTCAATCCCCAGTATTGCCAAGGGGGAAAAAAAATCAAGACTAGAGAAACACAACTAAAAGCAATGTGGAAAATAGAAAAAGAGCCAAGTAAATAAACCAACACTTTACTTCGTATTAATTACCACAGCAATGTCAATTCCCCACTTAGAGTAATTACACTTTAATAATTCAAGATGTCAACTGGGGGAGCTGGGTAAAGGACACACAGGAATTCTAATATTTCTTACAACTTTCCCGTGAGTATGTAATTATTTCAAAATACAGCATGTGCATATTACAGTTACACAAGAATATTCTGATGGTGGCGTACACCTTTATTTCCAGCACTTGAGAGGAAGAGGCAGGAGATCTCTGAGTTTGCCTGGTCCAGTTCCAGGACAGCCAAGACTGTTACACAGAGAAACCCTGTCTCAAAAAACTTTTTTAAAAAAGAATAACCATTCAATCAAATATTCATTTGACTGATCACATACTTTTTTCTTCCAAATCTTCCATAAAGCAACTGCTACTTTTACAACTAAACAAATAATAATAATAATGATAATGATAATAATAATAATACCAACTTACTTTTTATACAGAACTCCGTATGGTTTCTTCAGTGCATACTGTAAAACATAATTTAAAACTTTCTCAACAAAACATTCAAAAAGCAGAGACATGGCAATCTCCCTGCTTCAGTCATTCAAATACTGGAATTATACTCATGAGCCATCACAGATGTTTTCAATTCAGGGGTGTGGGCTAGATTTCACTATGTAGCTTGGGTTGCCTAGACTGCCATCTGCCTCCTCTGCCTCCCAAGTTCTGGGCTTACAGGTATGTGGCACCACATTTGGTAAAACATCTAATGATATTCAGCAAAGTGTTTCCCTGTCTTGGAGTAATGAGCACTGCTACCTTTTTCTGACAATGGCCATTATATAATACTCTGTAATATTGTACTGCTCTTAGAATGTACTTAACTGTGTAGGATCATTGGGAAGGAGAGAGGCTGTTTCCTCTCAGCACCACAATATTCAGATAAACATTTCAGAAAAAGATGAACAAGCCAGGCCAGACATGGTAGCTCACATCGGTAATCCCAGGGCTTGGAAGGTGAAGACAAAGGGCTTTAAATTCAAAGACAAGTGATGTAGCTCAGAGAATATGATGCTTGCCAGCAAACCTAAAGACCTGGGTTGAGCTTCTATATCCTACATGGCTAAAGGAAAGGAGAAAAAAAATGAAGTCAAAGCTCTCCATATATTTAAGCTGGGCATAGTGGCACATGCTTGAATTTTAGCACTTGGAATGCTGAAGCAGGGGATGGCTAGCTTGAGGCCAGCCTGGGCTACACAGGAGATGGGGGGAGGGGCACTCAGTTATTTAGCTGATTCAATTTAATCCAAAAATGCTATCAGCTACATACAAGTCCTAAATACCCAAGTACCTATTAGATATTGCCACATACAGTGACTATCATTCATCCTTTTATCGAGTACCTACCAGGTCCAGGCATTGTCAGCTTGGCAGCAAGTATCTTTCTTTATCCAATGAGCTATCTTGCTAGCCTAACAAAGTAGTTTTTATCTCAACTACTTAAAATTAGATGTCCCCTGAGCATCATCCTCTTTCCCCCCAAACCTGCCCTATCGGATACATTGTCTAAATTGGTATCTGATTTTAAATGATTTTATTTTACATGAATGAGTGTTTGCCTGCATATATGTATGTGCACCTCATGCCTGCCTGATGTGCATGGAGACCAGAAGAGGCGTTGGATCCCCTGGAAATGTGAGTCACAGATGGTTGTGAGCTGCTATGTGGGTGCTAGCACTTGAACCTATGAACTCTGGAAGAACAGTCAGTGCTCTTAATTGTTGAGCCATCCTTCCAGGCCTCCATAAAACTTGTGCCCTCCATAGCTATTCTGTCTAACTAGCTCTCAATGTCATTCATTCATCATTTATTTATTTGTTTCTCGGTGTAACCCTGGCTGTCCTTGAACTCAAGATCTGCCAGTCTCTGCCTCCAGAGTGCTGGGATTGAAGGCCTGTGCCACCATGCCCGGCTATCAATTTCACTCCTACCATCAGACACCAGTCTATTCCTGGCTGACAGTGAAAGGTTCAGCCTTTAATGCTGATCCACTCTACCCCTTTAAGAGACAGACCCCGTCCCCTGACCACAGTCAGGGCTCGCACATGAAAACGTACTGCGTCATCACCACGTCACCTGCTACGCATTACGGCCTTCGTGAGGACTCTGGGCATGCGTGGAACCTCAGTGCACATGCGGTGTCTTCCCTTTAAAAGTTCCAACTTCCCTGCTTCGCTCTCTGCTTCTTCCTCTGCTCTTCTCTCACCTACACGCTTTCTCTCTCTCTATGGTGACAGGCAATGGCGGTCAGCCATTACCCCTGTTCCTCTTCTCCTTTAGTCTCCCTACTCTGCTGGGCTTATAATAAACTGCTTAATGTTTAACATGTCTCATCTTGCTCCTCCTCTTTTTCTTTATATCTAATTTAAACAAAAACATAACAGACAGCATTTGCTCTCAGCCTTCTTTAGTAAGACCAACAAACTGTACTGACAGGTGTGATTCAGTGGTAGCACCTGCCTAGCTTACACGAAGCCCTGGATTCCATTTCCAGCACCACACACATCACAACACTTATCACAGATAAAACCAGTACTTGAAAAAAAAAAAAAAAGGGGGGGGAATGGGACCTGGAGAGATGGCTCAGAGGTTAAGAGCGAAGGCTGCTTTTCCAGAGGTCCTGAGTTCAATTCCCAGCAACCACATGATGGCTCACAACCACCTGTTATGAGATCTGGTGCCCTTTCTGGCCTGCAGGTGTACACACAGAGCATCGTATACATAATAAATAAATCTCTCCCCCCTCCCCCCCAAAAAGATTTCAATGTCTCCCCAGGCTTCAGAATAAACTCCAGATCCATGTTATTGTACAACCCCTGCCGCCTTCTCTAGCCTCGTGTGGTTCGCTTTCCATTGGCCATCCTGGTTACTTGTGGTTCACCGAGTGGGTCATATTTCTTGCAAGCTTGTTTCATTTCTTCCTTCCAAATGAAGGCTATGTATCATTTCCGGGAAGCCTGCCTGTGATTAGGTCCCCCCTATGTGATTTTTTTGTTACATTATTATTTCTGGGAAGCCCACCTTGTGTGTAGGTCCCTTCCTCTGTGCCTTTTTTTCTGGCAAAACACCAATGTACATAAAATACAAATAAATACATTATAAAAAATGCAGAATCAAAGGAAAATACAATATTGAAAATAGTAAGTCAATGTACCTACCATATCTCGGAGTACTTGTGTCACAGTTGCATTTGCATTTCCCCCTTTAATCAACATGGCATTCTTAATGTTTTCACTGACTTTTGGTTCCCTCTTCTCAAGGAATCTCTTAGCCCTTTTTGTTTTAGGCTTTCTGTCAAAAACAAAAACACAATTCATAACAATTTACACATTTTCCTCATATGACACACCTACAACTTGACTGATGACCTAAAAACAATCAACAGACATCCATCAAGCAGGACTCCATCACTAAATAACATAAAGAATACTCACATTTTCAAAGATAGTAGCAAAGGTGTTTTATCATTACTATTTAAATGTGTTTTGCCAGTTTTTGGTTCCTTATGAAAACTTTCATTTGCTATTTCCACACTGTTTTAGCACTATTTTTTTTCCAAATCTCTTATTATTAAAGATTCTGGGGCTGAGAGACTAAGTCAAGAGCACTTGCTAGTCATGTTGAGAATTAGGTTTGGTTCTTAGCACCAACATGGAAGCTTACAACTGATTGCAACTCTTGTTCCAGAGGACCTGATGTTCTCTTCTGGCTTCTGTGGGCAATGCACGAACACGGTGAGCATAAAGCTAGCTTTCACATATACATAAATAAAGATAAATTTTAAGCCAGACAGTAGTGGCACATGCCTTTATTCCCAGCACTCAGGAGGCAGATGCAAGCATTATCTCAGTGATTTGGATGCTGGCCTGGTCTAAAGTGAGTTCCAGGACAGCCAGGGCTGTTACACAGAAAAACCAATAAATAAATTTTAGAAGAATGAAATAACTCAAGTATTTTTAACTTTATTATGTTTCTTCATAGTGACTTACGCCTGTAATTACAGCTCTTTACAAACTCAGACTAGAGAAGCAATATGTCAGGTATGGTGTGTAGGCCAATCTTAAATATGAACCAGATAGCTGAGTGGTGGCGCACCCCTTTGATCCCAGCACTCAGGAGGCAGAGGCTGGCAGATCTCTGTGAGTTTGAGGTCAACCTGGTCTACAGAGAGAGTTCCAGGACAGCCAGGACTACACAGAGAAACCCTATCTTGAAAAACCAAAAGAGAGGGGGCTGGAGTATTGGCTCAGAGGTTAAGAGCACTAGCTGGTGCCAAATTCAATTCCCAGCAACAACATAATGGCTCAAAACCATCTATAAGGAGAGCTGGTGCTCTCTTCTGGCTTGCAGGTACACATAATAAATAAATAAATAAATAAATAAATAAATAAATAAATAAATAAATAAATAAATAAATAAATAAATAAATAAATAAATCTTAAAACAAGAAAACAGCCGAGCGTTGGTGGCATACACCTTTAATCCCAGCACTCAGGAGGCAGAGGCAGAGGCAGGCAGATCTCTGAGTTCGAGACCAGCATGGTCTACAAGAGCTAGTTCTAAGACAGCCTCCAAAGCCACAGAGAAACCCTGTCTCGAAAAAAACGAATAAATAAATAAATAAATAAATAAATAAAAAGAACTAGATGTAAGAATTCATCTACAACCCCCATTACAAATTTATTTATTATTGTTTTTATGGTGGGGCAGTAATAGGATGTTATTATACATTTCTGTTTAGAAGAAAGGATTCGACTTTGCCTCCTCTGTGATGACCATGGTACTTTTCAAAGTTTTATGCCATCTATTAACAAAATGTCTCCTCTGTTAATTAAACACAACCCTCCATCTTCCTGTATTGGGACAGGGCAGGAGGGGAAAAAATATATACAGCATAATTCCCACAAAGAATTTAAAAACTTGTCCTTCAATGAAATGCCATGGGTAAAACCACGTAGTCAGTCATTTACTGGTCACTCAAGATGTATTTTTTATTAAATCAAATCAAGGCATGCACTGTGTCTATACAGCAATAACAGCTATACACTCTATCGCCTATGTCTTTTTCAATATCACTCACCAGTAGTCAATGTAAACAGCACCTTACTGACTTTATCGGTGAGGCACAATGGGTGCACAAAACCTACTGACTAAAAAGAAACCGTCGTTTACATTGCACATTTATTTTTAAAAAGCAAAACACTGAGCCAGGCCGGGCGGTGGTGCGCACGCCTTTAATTCCAGCACTCTGGAGGGAGAGACGGGCGGATCTCCTGAGGCCAGCGCGATTCACAGACCGAGTTCCAGGACTGCCAGGGCTGCACGGAGAAACCCAGTGGCGGAGAAGGGCAACAACCAACGCAGCGACACCTGGCCACTCCAGTAAGTCATTTTGAACAAACGGAACCATCACTCAGCGATAAGCTGAAGCGCACAAATTTGAATGGAAAAGAAAAGTGAAAACTTTGTGCCTGTTACCGCAAACACTGCTCCCTCTACCCAGCTCTGTGACACGAGACTATCGCGACCGCTCTTTCACAGGGTAAGCTGAGTGAGGACAGTTTACGTCTGTTCTTGCCAGATTCCGAGGCCTGCGCCCCTAACTCCACCCACCGCCAGGCTCACACTTGAGAGTCCTCAGTGGCTCCACGCCCCAGGCCGCGGTCGGCCTGCAGCGCTTCACCAGTCGGCCGCCTCCTTCCCACAGCGCAATAACCAGGCGAGACTCCCTCCCACGCCACCGCGTCCCCCCAACACTTACATGACTTTATCCAAGGCATCCATCGCTACCGGACCCCCAGCAAACACACGTGCGACGCTCACTTCCGCAAGCCGCCGCGAGCACCGGAAGAGGCGGTGCCGGAAATGCGAAACACAACTTCCGTAGACAGCCTGGCGGGCGGCCGTTTGGGGAGGGCGTGCGTTCTGTTACCTTGGTTACGGAATGTTGTTGCGGCTGTTTTCTGTAAAGTAAACTTTTGGGGGGTGGGGGGCGTTTCGAGACAGGGTTTCTCTGTGTAGCTTTGGAGCCTGTTCTGGCACTAGCTCTGGAGACCAGGCTGGCCTCAAACTCACAGAGATCCTCCTGCCTCTGCCTCCCTAGTGCTGGGATTAAAGGCGTGCGCCACCAACGCCGGCTGAAAGTAAACCATTTAAGTGACTTGGTATAGAGTCGAGTTTTGGGGAACCAAGAGTTCATCTTCAGGGAAGTAACCAGAATGCTAGAAAGGATCAGTTGAAACCGGTGGATAACCCAGTTGCGTTTCACATAAAGATATACGGAGAATACTGCTGATTGTGATTCCCGCTCAAATTTTAGTTATATAATTTGCACATAGTCATATGTATAATTCAGTGGTTTGAGGTGAATCCAGTATAGCCTTGTAAAACAGTAATTCTGGCATTGGGAGAGAGAAGTTCAGAATTGAAAGTTGAAGTCCAGCCTGGGCTCCACAGTGAGGTGCTGTCTCACACTCAACAAAGAGGTCAACACTGGGGTGCAGGCCTGGCATTTCAGTACCCATAACCACTATCTAATTTCAACATACTTTTATTATTTCAAAGAGCTCACCTACCCATCTGCCCAGTGTCACTATAGGGAAAAGGGCTAGTCGAAGAAACACACCCTGAGCAGAGCCAAAGAAACACACTTTGGCCCTGCAACCAGAACCAAAGAAATGCACCCTGGCCCTGAAACCAGTGCCAAAGAAACACACTTTGACCCTAGAATCTGAGTCAGTGAAAGAAATACACCCTGGGCCCAAAATTAGAGCCAAAAGGACCAGTGAAAGAAACATACTTTGACCCTGAAACCAGAGCCAAATCTGACCCTGAGCCTGAGCAGAAAACCAATCTGAGCTCTGGGATTGAAATCTGACCAATCCCCACCATGGAAATCTCCCTGGAACAACCCCCCCCCCTTCCCAGAAGCCCTATATAAACCCTGTGCCTGTTCAGCTTCTGGCTCTCCTGCAGCTGTACTCTGCCATCCTAGCAGAGATAGCCACTCTCTTGGATTCCTCCCTCCCAATAAATCTCTTGAATGAGGTTTGGGTGTGACCTTGTTTTGCTGGGGTGGAGAGAAGTAACAACTTTTTGCCAGAGCCAGAGCAGAGCTGTTAAACTAGAGAAGCCCTCCCCTGCCAGAGCAGAACTGTAAGCTGCCAACCTTACTGTGACCTGTAGTATTCCTTGGCTCCCGATCGTCAGAGTCCCTGCCCATCTGAGCTATAACATGAAGTATGCTCATAGCTCATACTGTCAACCTTTAATCCAGTTTTAGGTACTTGCCTTTTCTGAATGTATATAGTATGAATTAATGCTCACAGTGTGCTCTCTTAAGTCTGACTTTAACTTACTAGGCTTTGGGTTTTATCTTAAGACAGGGTTTCCCTACATTGCTTTGTCTGGCCTGTAACTTACTATATAGACCACAGGATCTTTTTTATTTCTTTTCAGATTTTTTATTTGAATTAGAAACAAGAGTGTTTTACATGTCAGTCCCAGTTCCCTTCTCCCTCCTGTCCTCCCCTACCACCCACCCAACTAAAACCCTACCTATCACATATCCTTTCTTCTATTCTTCCCCTGACTCAACCTTTCTGCTCCCTCAAGATCTCTGCATCAATTCTCTTCTTCCCTTCTCATTCTCCGTAGCTCCCTCCTCCCTCTTTCCGTGCTCTCAATTTGCTTAGGGGATCTTGACCCTTTCCCCTTCTCCAGGGGGCCATGTATGTCTCTCTTAGGGTCCTCCTTGTTTACTAGCTTCTCTGGCAGTGTGGATTGTAGACTGATAATCCTTTACTCTATGTTTAAAATCCATATATGAGTGAGCACATATCATGTTTGTCTTTTTGTGATTGGGTTACCTCGCTCAGAATGGTTTCTTCCAGTTCCATCCATTTTCCTGCAAATTTCAAGATTCCATTGTTTTTTTTCACTGAGTAGTACTGCATTGTGTAAACGTACTACATTTTCTCTATCCATTCTTTGGTTGAAGGGCATCTAAGCTGCTTCCACTTTCTGGTTATTACAAATAGTGCTGCTATGAACATCGTTGAACAGATGTCCTTGTTGTATGAATGTGCTTC